GGCACGCGTGCCTAGGTTGCCGACCCCTGCAATAGAGATTTCAAACCTACCATTCATTAGCTGAAACAAACAATGTGTATGCTTTAAAAGCATCAATATCAGCTCCTCTCTCACAGCAGGGTGGGAGTTTCTAAAAAATTATGTAGTCTTCATTAATCCCATTCAAATGTCCATCCATCTGGAATAAACCTGACATAATACAGAACAATAACATGATTAACTTCCTTGATTGGAGCTGTAAAGGAATTAGATTCTTGGAACATCTATTCAAAAGAACAGACTTTATTCTATTTGACAGATTAGCTAAAAAAACATGGAATTAAAAAGAATAGATTTTTAGAATATCAACAAATTAAATCTATAGTAAAAAAGACATTTACGCCTAATCAAGTCAAATTACAAACACCAACAAATGTGGTACAATTCCTTGGTCTCAAAATCCTAAAATTACTCTCTAAAATATACAGAACACTCTCCAAAATAGATGAATCAGTATCCCTTCCTATTGCCAAATGTGAGACGGAGCTATCAGTCAGCTTGCACAACAACTCCTGCTCTAAGATATTTTTAAAAAATCTTGAAATTGATTAGAAATCCCAGTCTACAATTAATACAATACAAAATACTACACCGGGGACTGAGGTCCATACTGCTGCAGGACTGGGGGGTGGTCTGCTTGTCTCCACCCCAGAGTAAAGGGGACCATTTCCTGCATCTGGGGGCGATTATCAACCATATAAAACTGTAGTGAATTACTTTTTCTAAGTGTGATGCAAGGACTTTGCTTATAATTTTAATGTCTGTATTCACCAGAGAAAGTGCTCCATAACTAATTGCCTGCGTGGGATCTTTATCTGGTTTTAACAACAGGTTAATTATTGCAGTTTTCATGGTTGGAGGACTTCTAGACCTAATCACAAATTCTTCAACCATTCTTATGAATAGCGAGGACAGGGTTGGCTAGAAATGTTCGTAGAACTCAGCAGGGACGCCATCTGGGCTAGATGCCTTGTTACAGAGTATTTGATTAAGAATAGTTCTTCTAGAGCTATAGTTTTTCCAACATCGTACCTTGATCTTGTGTTAAAATAGACAGATCTATAGCACTCAGAAATTTGTGAATGTTTTCCATATTTGGGTCATGGTCAGAAGTGTATAGATGCATGTAAAACGTCCTAACAACATTATTTATATCTGGAAGATAATGAAAAGGTTTCCCTGCTGAGTCTTTGATAACT